TACTGAAGTTGTTTTCCAAAATGCATGCATCCGCCTGTAGTATGTTCCAAACTTACTGAAAACATCTTGTAGTATGTTCTTTTTTTTTTTTTTTTTTAGTGTAAACAGGAGGATTCGAACCCAAGATCTCTTTTTTATACTCCCCGTACACCCAACCCAACCCAACCCTCCCCCTAGTATATTCAAAAATAAAAAAAAAAAAAAAACTCATCCTGCTCATCCTATGCTAGTAATTAATTTTGTATAATAGGGACATTCTTTTCTAGAGAAACTTTCAACAATGAGAGTGCAAGATATATGTCACAATAAACATTGCATGTGATTGATATTTGGCGCTAAATGGTCAGCAATTTGTTTATTGCTTAAGAAGATATTTTTTATTCATATATACATTTCTCCAAGATTTTTTAAAGTTAAACAACGAGATAAATTTTCTTATTTTGCATGGAAAGAAGTATGTAGTTATAATGTGTAGAAAGTAAAGATAGAGATAAAAGTGAAAATATTTCAAAAGTTAAACAAACACCAAAAAAATGAAGTAAGAAAATATTTTCAATAACTTAACCAAACACCTGAAAATGATAAAAGGAAAATGATTTTCATGAAAAATTACTTCCACGGAAAATATTTTCCCAAGGAAAACATTTTACTTCCAATCAAACAGACCCTAAATGTTATTGAAGCATTTGTTTTGCTCTGACTTTAAGAAACAGTAGTGAGTAGCGTGTTTGACAAGGTATTAGCTGACAATGGTTTTTTTTTTATTTCTGTAAGATGATGTATGAAAATTTAAAAAACAATATTAAAAATTAAGTTAAAAAATATGTTTACGATACACATGAAATATTATTTTAAATAATTTAAATATCCAACCACATTTTATAAAACCTTCGTATATTTCATGAGAAGGTTATTTATATATTTTTAAATCATACGAGGATTATATGTTAAAACACCAAATTAAACAATAATTATCCATCGTCAATATTTTTTTTGTGAATATATTTTTTAATAATTATTTTATCTCATATACATCAAATCTCTAAAACACATTTAAAAAAAAAATTAACATTTTTCTATAAAAAAAAATTCCAAAAAAATAAAAATTCAAACGCTTTTAAATATTTCTTACAATTGTACGCCTGTACCAACCATGCCATGACATTTAGCGCAAATTTTCGTTGCATCTGCTAAACCAATAATCAACAATCAAACAATAAACAAAAAGGGGAAAAGATTAATACTTGAGCAAGTGCAAATACTTTTGATATGCCGCCAAAAACTACCGCATTTCACGATCTGATTTTCTCTAGCAAGTAGCTGAGACCAAAAATCTCACACCATGCGCTAATGGACTAACCAACAACGAATCCAAATCAACAGGATTCTCAATTCGACAAATCATTGACCTGGCTTCCACAGTGATATCCCAGTAGATATTCAGCATGACATCGAACTTTTCCATAAATAACTTGTGTTGTTGTTTCTTAGTACAGATCAGAGGTAACTTCACTATGAAATAACTTGTGTAATATTCGGACGTCTGTTGATGAGACATCGGTATGCTCGGACCCTGGATATAATAACTGTGTTACTGAACACAACCAGTCAGGCCACTGTAAAAAGGATAACTTCCCACAGAGAGTCTCAGAAGTCCATTACTAGAAGCTTTCTCCTCTCAGAAGTTGATCACAACTACGCAAACAAACAGGCACTTTCTGAACCTTTTCAGCAATCTATTTGAAGCTCAAAATTATATCCTTGTCCATCTGAAAAACACAAATTTGAAGAGTCATAACGAGAAAATTAACTGAACAAGAACTCTAACACAGAACCTACATTCTTTGCCAGCTCTTTAACTTTCTCATCATCAAAGCCCTGTGCAGCCAATATTTGATGTCCTGCTGACTCCTTTTGTGCCCATATACCAAGAAGTAAATGTGTAGTCGTTACTTCCCCACTTTCACCTGCATTTTAATCGAATTATAAACTAGTATCCCATCACAGCAAGCAATATCTTAACAGAACAGGGGGTACAAGATTCTCGGTTTCAAACAAGAAGCCTGATTCAACTCGCAAAAATAGCAATCCTTGGTGTTGTATTGCAACTAAGCAGCCTTTGAGTACAACAGGCTCACATTTTTTATACCAGCCAGGAACTTAGAAGTTCACTAAGCGTTAAAGAATGCAGCGTACCGCAATCAAGAAATTTGATTGACATAATTTATCTCATAAAATGTAGTATAATAATGAATTCATTACTCTAATACCTGGAACACTACGCGTTTGCTTTCACTCCTTCCCTAATTTTATTCCCCAATTCTTAGCTTAACTTTACCTCAATGTTTTTCAACATCTTCCTGACATAACTCAGCAGCACAAGTATATTTTCCAATAGGCAACAAACATATTACTCTTGATTGCACAGAAAATGGGGTTCATGTTGAATCAGAAAGTTAAATCCAGCATCTAACCATCAACAATTGATCACTTGATCCTAATCCCAAAAGTAACCTAACATTTTCACATAATTCCTTCAAATAAATAATCAATTCTAAAGCTTTCCATCCTTCTCAAAGTTCCATAACTTGGGTAAAAGATTACAAAGTTACAGCAGCATTTAGATTTCCAAGGTGCTGAGATGTGCCGTACTTGTGGAAGTCATTCTAACAGATGGAAAAAAAAAAATCACTCAACCAAAAAAGGATTAAGGTGAATAAAACACTACATGTATGACAACATCCATAACAAATATTACAAAAGTTACCTCTAGCCAACCTAACTTCTTAAACATTATATTTAAAAAAAAACTGAAGCATTACACTACCAAATCCAAAAATAATGTCAGGATAAAAGATTGGGCCTGAGTCATTAGGCTAGGGTCCCACAAAATGCACATAAATCCAAACATAGTAAACTTCTTATGTCTCTTGGCAAACATCCTTATCACCTTTTCTTGCGACTAAAACTGGTGATTAATTTCTGCCCTGTTGTCTTTTTTGCCAACAGTACCTGATCATGGCTTACTTCTGACTAGAACATTATAGCTTTTACAAGAGAAAGAAAATAGGCATGCATAACCTACGACCAGAGGGAAGCATGATATCTCATTTCTAGTTCCTACTGCTCTAGAGACTTGCTGAGTGCCAATGGGAAATTCCACCACATTTCTCATCTCCTAATTCGGTCAAAGGTCTCCACTACTTGAATAACTATTAATTTGTCTAAATAGCCATTTCCAGAGAGCCACTAGTCATCAGATTGGAGAAGCATTGTATTCTCCTCAAAGTACAAGACTAAATTATTTCCACCAACAATAAGTTGCTCAATCCATGAAGACTCAAATGGCAACACGTGAAACGAACAAGAGAATCTTAAATTTATGAGAGCAGTTGATAGCAAGTGAACGTTTTATATTTTAAAAACACTGATTTCCAAGAGAAGACAAAGAAATACCAGACTTCAGTTTCTCCTCAATAGCCCAATCGAGAGCCCTTTGAGCAGGTTCAGTCACGGGAGGATGCTCTGGACTGAAAAAGTACATGTCAGATTTGCCAAGTAACTTTACAGTTTCTTCTCGCACCTTAAAAAGTGTGATGCCATTTTCCCTCAAGAACTTGGCAGCCAAACTCGTTCCTGCAATAACACACATATGAAAAGCACTAGAAGAAGGCTCGTTGAACATCCATAATCATGTAAAAACCTTCCAAGAATCTTCGTACAAGGAATAGGAAGTTATAGTCTTTTTTCTGTTCAACTGGAAGCTCTGAACAGTCCATAATGCTGGAATTAAAAATTGCATTATCCCCAGAACTCGGAAAAAGCTTTTATTGAGCATAGACAACACCACATTCAAGGCATATTTCGTGCAGGGTGAAAATTCTAGATGCTAATAAGCAAAAAGAATGAGGGTGAAAAAGCATTCGCTAACCTTCAACCAAGATTCCCATTAGTAAAGCTTCTGTCCCAGTATTCGGATACTTGAGCTTCCTAGCTTCCAACTCCGCCATAGCATATGACTTTATTGCCCTCGCAGACCATCTACGCCATCGTCATTCAACAACTTAATCACACAATTTATAACCCCCAAAAAAGGTAAAAATAAAGGGTAGAACCAAGGAAAAAGGTATACCTGGGTAATTTTTCAGAGGAATCCCTTTTTTCCTTGCTGCCAATTTGACCAAAATAAAAAAGGAAATCAATATCCAAACTTCCACATGAAAATTTAAAAGTGAATGGAAATAACAAGAGTAGTGATATTGGAGGCTTACGAGATGGGAAGACTAAAGGAGGCCGTTGCAGCAGTTGAACTGCGTCGTTTTGAGACAACAAGACTTAAATTTGACGAGCGAATGGAAAGTTTTTCGCCAAAAAAAAGAATTAACTGACAACCCGGATTGAAAGCCAAGGAATGGTCGGTGGGTTTCTGGAGAGATAGTGAAGTTGGAGATGAGATTGGGAGCATCACTGAGAGTGTATTGGCCGCCATCGAACGTTCAGCAAGGAACTAAACCCCAGTTATTTTCCAGTACTTTTGAACGACAATTCCAGGGCGTCTTTCTCGCTCGCAGTACCTTCCAAATGGGTCGGGTTAAATGGTTAACCAATGGGGGCCGAACCAGATTGGTTCCCCCCCAGGGGTGCAGAGAATTCGAGTAGCTTGAATCGAGCTCGCGAATAGCTTGATTAGCTACTCGAATCGATTTCAAGCAAATTCGAGTTCGAGTCAATCTCGATCTACTTGCTACAGTAAACGAGCCGATCTCGAGTATTTAGGAGTCAGAAATTCGAGCTCGACGAGTAGCTCGAGCTCGGTAGCACATATATATTTTTTATTTTAGTTTATATATCAATTTACTCTTTTAGGTTTGTTAGCTAGAATATTTACGGGCTTAAGCAGTTCTCTGCCAATTAGTAAACAAGGGTGAATAAGTAATTTTGGCTCGAGAATTCTGATGAAATGAGGAAAACTAAAAACGAAAAATGAAAAAGCTTCCGTCGAATTCATCCTTCACAGTTCTTTCTTCTTCTTCGTTCGGCCGTTCCTTCCTCTTCAGCCTCTCTCAAATCGCAATCTCTTATTCTTTGGCTCATCTCCTCAATTGTCACAAGTCACAACTGATCATCTAAAGCTATAAACACTTCAGCAGTTTAGCTCAACTTGGAGTAGGTAGCAGCGTGAGCACTGAGCAGCCGACCTTTGAGCGGGGTTTCAAATCAAATCAAAACCCATCAATTTCAACAGCTGCATTTGACAAATTAAGGTACTTATTGTGCATTTGTGTAGTAAATATGTGCATTATGAGGTTAAATTTTATAAATGTAATATTAATTTTTAATCTCCAAACCCTAACCAAAAAAATTGGGGGCTGCAGCCTGCGATTCAATATATTCAATTTCCGTATCTCATTCCTTCTCCATTGCTGTACTGGAATTTTGAGGAAATGGAGGGCAGCTCGATTCCTTCAACAAGTGATTCGGTGGTTGGCGCGATAGCTCCAAGAATTGGTAAGTTTCTTGACATTGGCTCTAACATGTTTATGGGTTTTTCTTTGATGTGAAAATGCACTGATTTCAGAAATTTGCTTTAAGTTGGATTATTAAGTGTTAATTAGCTAGTATATTAATGAGATTAATGAGAATATTCAGTTATGTTCTCTGGAGAATAATTTTGATGCTAGCTTATGCAGTTAAACTAAAAGATCTTTTACTTGGGTCAATAACAGCATGAAAACAAGAGTTTCTCAATCGGAACTAAAACTAACCTTTCCTGGAAAACAAAACACTGCATGGAATAGGAAACTGCAGAAAAGGGGATACGTCATAAAGTACAAAAGTTTCTCAATCTGAAGACATATCAAAGCTTCTAATAGCCCCCTTTATGATTCCCAGCCGAATATATATGAAATCTTATCAAAACTTTCAGGCTTTATTGCTACAGTAGTGCTTGAAGTTTCATACAAATTTTCTCTTGGGCCCTGAAGTTTTTCCTAAACTCAGCTCTGAATCTGATTGAGCTATTCCTTTTGTTTGTTTCTCGTTGATAAAAATAAGAAAATGTAAACAAAAGGCTTTCTGATTTTATCCAATGCAAATTAAAAAAAATGGGATACCATAATATCCATTTCAAGATGAGATGGTGGCTAGCATCAATAGTAAAAGAGTTTAAGATCCAAAACATTATTGGGATATCAACTCGCATGATCTGTTAGATTGATGTCATTCGCATGATCTGTTTTTGATCGGCTAGACATCCATCTTGTTAGACCTAATTTGATGTATTATAATCTCTAGAACAGGTGTAGCCTCTTCTTTTGTAGAATATTCTTTCTCATGCGAGACCTAAAGCATTGCTTAGCTTAATAATTTTGTTGACTAGTGAACTTCACTTTTTAGAGTTATATAGTCATCTGAAAGTACTTTAACACTTAAACCTCTTTTTCTGTTTTGAAATACCACCTAAGTCTATCATGCAAGTGAACAATTTTAGTTTCTCCGGATATTTAGCTCAAGGATAAATTTAAAATTGTTCTGATTTGCTGCAATTTTGTCCAGTATCGCCACATTTTTTTGTGGAAACTTTTCTTATATCTTTCAAATTGTTCTGCATATATTGTCATTTTTTTTGTACATATGAAAGAAAATCGAGGACCACCATATACTACTTGCTAGTGCATTCCACACCCAAGCAATAAGTCTTCTTTTTGGGTATATAGTCAATAACTTTGTTGTTATCCTCCAGCAAGTACTACAGATATCTTTGTCGAACATTCTTCATATCTTCCCAAATTTCCAAGTACTGTTTTATAGGATCTGGATGAATTTCAATTGATGTCTTTGCATCTTCCATTACTACTAAATCCATTTTTTGTCTAGTTATGACTTTACTTGATTCTGATGAGTATTTTTTCTTCTTTCGGACTTTACTTGATTCTGATGAGTATTTTTTCTTCTTTCAAAAAGTAGGATGGTATCCACAATCATTGGAAGTCAACCATAGTTTAATCTTTAGGGATGTGGGGTAGAAATATATCATAAATTTTCACCTTTTTTTATTTGAAGCCAGAAATGCTCTCAGTTAGTGTTGATATCTTCCTTGCATTTGCATTTTTCAGGCTCAGCTGTCTTTCTTTATTCAAACTGTTCTGAGTCTCTAGGTTAGTTTTCAAAAAAAAAAAAAATTGGCAGCTCTCAGTCAAATTTAACATTTGAGTTCTTTCAATCTGACTTCTTTTTTATTTTTAGAATTCTGGGTAATGTGCTTTTAGAATTCAATCTATTCCGCTTTTGAGTGTTAACACTCACATCAAATTAAATTTTATTTTCTGTTGTGAGTAATTGCTTTGAGACTAATACTGATTTGATTGATATTCTCTTTACCTTTATTATGAATTGTTTTATACTTCATACTTTCATAGCATTGAAATATTATATAAGATCTAAATTTGCTATGAACTTTAGCCTTGATATGAATGTTTTTTGGAAGCTGTTTTCCAGATTTGGGTGCTTGTGTGTCATTTTCTATTTCTTCTAATGTCTGTTTGATTTGAATTTAATGCTCCGTGTCAAAATATTTGAAGTGGAACTCATTTTAATGTAAATATTTGTTTATTATTAAAGGCATGTCTATTAGTCCTCCCGAGGTTTCTTCAATACCACATGTGTCTGGGACCGATTCATCCACACCAGTCATGATTAACAGCCCAGTATTTGTAAGCCGTGATACCTGTGATCCCACACAAGAGGGTGGTGAAACACAACAAGAGGGAACCGAAGACACCAATAGGCAGCAAGGAGATGAAGCTGAAGATGATGGTAAATTTCGAGTGCCTAAAAGGAATAAAACATCTGAGGTATGGGAAGATTTCGATGATTTGGAAGAAAATGGCATATATTATGCCATTTGTAAACATTGTAGTAAGAAATTGAATCGGGGAAAAACTAAACAAACCAGCAGCATGTGGAGGCATCGGGAAAACTGTTCCGTTAGAAAAGCCAAACTTAGAAAGGCCGAGCAGCAAACAAAGATAAACTTTCAGCAAGCGAATGAGCGTTTTCCAACTGTACCATCATTGCACACTGGCAAATTCGATATGAAAACAATGAGAGAGGCTGCTGCACATTGGATCTTGATGCACGAGCATCCTTTCACAATTTTGGAGGAAGAGGGTTTCAACATAATGATGAAACGCGGCTGGCCGGAGTGGCAAAAGATTTCACGCATGACAGCTAAAAAAGATTGTATACAGGTGTACGAGATAGAGAAAAAGAAGTTGAAAAACTTGTTGAGGCATGTACAAAAAGTTAGCTTGACCACCGATATGTGGAAATCAAAGAATCAAAAAATTGAATACATGGTGGTGACCGGACATTGGATTGATGGAAATTGGAAGCTTCAGAAGAGTGTTAAATTTTGTTCATATTCGACCACCACGTCGAGGAGTTGAGATTTCGGATGCAGTTTTCAAGTGTGCAAAGGAATGGGGAATTGAGGGAAAAATTCACACTATTTCTGTGGACAATGCCTCAAACAATGATGTGGCCGTGAGATTGTTGAAAGATGATTTCGGGAGATGCAACAAGCTTTTGGGTAGAGGAAAACTGTTTCATGTTCGTTGTTGCGCCCATATCTTGAACCTTATGGTTCAAGATGGCTTGAAGGATATAGTAGATATTTGTGAAAATATTCGAGATAGTGTGGATTTTGTGAACAAGTCTGATGGTAGGGCATTGCTATTTGCAGAAATTGCTCAACACCTACAAATTCCTGGAAACAAATTGCTCCATGATTGTAGGACGAGATGGAATTCAACATATGAAATGTTGAATTGTGCTATAAAATATAAAGAGGTTTTTCCTCGTTTTCAAGTTCGAGAGCCCCTTTATGAGTCTTGTCCATCTTCAGAGGATTGGGAGAAGGTTGAGAAAGTTTGCACCATTTTAGAGAAGTTCTACACAGCCACACACATAATTTCGGGGAGTGAGTATCCAACTAGCAATCTATTCCTCCCTGAGATTCTAAAGGTGAAGAAACTCTTGGATGCACGAGTGAATGATGAAGATGATTTTGTCCGGAGTATGATTACAAGAATGAAGCTCAAGTTTGACAAATACTGGAAAGAGTGTAATTTATTGATGTCCATTGCAGCTATCTTGGATCCCAAACAGAAAATGCGAGCAATAGAGTTTGCCTTCCCTAAGATGTATTCCGCATATGAAACTCAAGAGAATATCACATATGTTCGAAAAGCCATCTTTGAGCTTTATGACGAGTACGTTGCTATGGCTACAAGTGGAAGTGCAGGGACAGGTTGTTCATTAAATCCTGCATCCGAAATAGTGTGTCCACCTCGAGCAACTGCTGACTATTGGGATGATTTGGATGAGTATTGTGGTGAACTCGAATCCGATGAACCCCATAAGAGCGAGTTGGTGGATTACCTAGACAAGCCTCGCCAACTTCCTAGACAAAATCCGAAGGATTTCAACTGTTTAGATTGGTGGAAAATCAACCGATCAGCATACCCGGTACTCTCTCAGTTAGCGGCTGATGTATTGGCCATTCCTATCACTACCGTTGCATCTGAGGCCACCTTTAGTGCTGGAACTAGGGTGATTGATTCATACCGTGCTTCACTTGCTCCGGAGACAGTCCAAACATTAATGTGTGCAGGCGATTGGTGTAGAAATTTACACGGGGTCAAAAAGAAATTGAAAGTAAGTTATATCTATATGAATTTGTTATTGCAGAGATAAATTAGTATTTATTAGTTTGTTTATTGATTTTAAAGTATTACATTATTTGCATTTCCACTACCTAAATGCAGCCACAGAAAGCTCTCAAAGAATATGAGCTGCCCAATGCTTGAAGTTGTGTAAGGAGCAACTACTTTGCTGAAAATCAGGTCCATCTTTTTGTGAATTCTCATTTTCTTATTCTTAATTTGCCATAAGTTGTGTTCAAATTTTAAATTTAAATTGTACATAAGTTGGTTGATTTGTCATTTGTGTATGGCTAGGTGTTGTAGATTGTACACCGAAGTTTGAAGATGCATAAGGAGCAAACAAGCTGTTTCATTTACCAGATTACAAACAAGAGCTTCTAAATGCTCATTAGACTCCAGAAAATTTCCCTAAGTTTTTCCTTTCAATTGGCTGCAGCACTCATTTTTGTATTTTCGTGAAATTCTGATGAGGTTGAGAACAGGTTGTTGCTTATGTTTAATGCTGAAATGTTAATGTGGAATTGTGGATCATGGCCACTTAGTTTCTGCATGCGTATGGTGTTTCTTTAGCCATTGTGTTTGTCCTTTTGTTTGTCATTGGTTTCTCGTTTGCGGAATTTCTGAATTTTGGAAGCTAGAATTCTTGAATCTTGAATCTTTATTAATCTTATTGATTCTCCTGGCATGTTGATTTCTCATCTGAGGTGACTGCTGCCCTTCGTATTACTGATGGTGCATTGGTGCTGGTTGATTGTATTGAGGGTGTGTGTTCGTGTGTTTTCTTTGCTTTTGGCCGTGTGTTTTCTGGAAAAATTGCCACTGGCATGAAGATTCCCCTGGGCATGTTGATTTCTCATCTGAGGTGACTGCTGCCCTTCGTATTACTGATGGTGCATTGGTGGTGGTTGATTGTATTGAGGATGTGTGTGTCTGTGTGTTTTCTTTACTTTTGGCCGTGTGTTTTCTGGAAAAAGTGCCACTGGCATGAAGGTTAGAATTATGGGTCCCAACTATGTTCCGAGAGAGAAAAAGGACTTGTATGTTATAATGTTAAGACTTAAGAATGTCTAAAGAATAGTTATTTGGATGGGTAAGAAGCAGGAAACAGTTGAGGATGTGCCATGGGGTAACACAGTTGCTATGGTTGGTTTGGATCAATTCATCACAGTTGCTATCGTTGCTATGGTTGCTGTCTCCCCTATCGTGCGTGTTGCTGGGCAGAGTGCAGTGGAAGGTTGCATCTGATTCCCCAAGCTTGTTGAAGGTTTGAAACCTCTGCCGAAGGTTCTGTCCTCTGTATGCAATGGTATGCTTCTAAGTTTTGTCCATGTGGCTCCAAGCCTCCAAGACTTTAATTGGCTTCTAAGTTTTGTTTCTTTGAATTGCAATTAATCTTGTTCAATTGATATTAATGTACTTTCATTCGAATGATTAGTGCAACTTAATTTATTGTTTAGTACAAATTAGTAGTGTTGCATTTAAGATACAAAGACTAGATTCTTTAGATTTGCGCAGGAACCAGGATCAATTCGAGCTCATTCGAGCTCGAGTACTCGACTTGATATCGAGCTCGATCAAGTCGAGTTCGAGTCTGCATACACTTTTATCGAGTCGATCTCGATCTTTGGTTATCGAGCTCGCTCGAGCTCGACTCGGCTCGATTTCACCCCTACCCCCCCTTCCCCCGGGTTTTTTATACAGGTAAACATAATTGGTTTTTTTTTTTAAAGCAAGACCCGCTCTGCGGCTGGGGATGCCAGCCCCAAATTTTATTAAGAACCAGCAACATGTGGATTTGTTTGTATAGGGTATTATTTGAAATATTATTTGGAATAATTATTATAGTACTTTTTATGATGTGATATATGTGAGATAAAAAGGTAATTGGAAATATAAACATGTGGGTTAAAAATGTGTTGATGATACAAGCGAAATATTATTTGGGATAAATTTTGTATCCAAACACTCCCAATATTATAACGAGTTCGAATACACAAATCGTTAAACCCCTCAATCACTGAGAGACTATCCTTTGTCCACTTGCCTACATACATAGCAAAACTCTCGACTATCAAGGCTCAAAGCCGCACGAATCCTCCTAGAAAGCTAATCTTGCGAGGTACAAAACAACTCGGATGGAAGTCTCGGCTTAGATAGCATATTAGCAGTGAAATTCGCCTCCCGGAATACATGTTGGATCGATGCTAAAAACAGGAGAAGTAGTGCTCGAATCCTTCTAATCGTGTTGCAGAGTGACCACTTGGCTATAGCTGATGACTTGAGCAAACGAACTAGACTTTCTGAGTCGACCTGTACCATCAGGCGCCCTTGAAGCCCATCCGAGCACCACTGGAGTCCATATAGCAGTGAATCTTTCTAGTTGGTTGATACACGGCAGTTGAATCTTTCTAGTTGGTTCGGTTTGAGGAATTTCAAATCAATTAAGCCGAAAAATAGCTGGTAAGTCGATATCAGTAGTCAAGCTTAAAATATTAATTGCAAAATACTTGGGTACATCTTTTCCCAAAAAAAAAAAAAATTAAGTAGGTTAGAATAAATAAGCTTATTTACTATAATTAATATTATATTATATACACTAATAGTATGTACACTTATATACAAGCACCCTTAGATGCATGTCAACTAATACCAATTTAAATTTAAATTTATTTTTTTATACACATAACATGCATCCAGATGTGTTAGTATATACATTTTCAATATACATTAACCTATTTATTATCGTGATAATCAAAATGGAACAAACAAAAATGGAATAGGTACAGGTAACCAACTCGTGCTAAGACAAGTCTCATCCTATGCAAAAAGCAAAAGTTAAATGTTTGTTTGGATAAGTTATTATTTGCAAAAATTTATTTGATTGTATTATAAATATATTTTTCAACAACCTTTTTATATTTTTAATTCTATTTTTATTTCACATATATCGCATTAAAAAATGTTATAATGTTTTTTCAAACAATTATCCCAAACACTTTTCTATCCACACACGTTCTCCACCTGGATTAAGAGTTTTTTCCATAAACTAATTTTGTTTGTCAAGTTCACAGCAATAAATTCCAAAAAATACACACTAAAATGTTTTTATTGCAAACTCAAGGGTGATCAGAGGATTATTTAAGAACGCATTTAGTGTGGACAACCTAAACCTGATATAACCTTGTTTGGACAATAATTTTTCTTGCTACGTTTTCCGTGAACATATTTTTTAATTATTTTTTTATCTCACATATATCAAATCGCTATAGTAATTTTTTTACAAGAAATCCAAAAAAATGCAATCCAAACAAGCCATTGTATTAGGAATTATCTCTTGAAATGCGTTATATTAGGAATTATCATACTCCCTCCGTCCCACTTTGATAATCCTATTTTTTTTTCATCTGTCCCAATTTGTAATCCACTTTCCAATTAAAGAATGTAGTTGTCTTTTAATTTCTCTAAAATACCCTTATTTAATATAAGTTGTTATTACTATAAACTACCTTATTTAATACATATTGTTAGTATTGAATATAACTTACCCCATTTATTGCGTTTAGATTTTTCAAAAATATTGATATATGAAAAAGCCAACTTTATTTAATGTAAAGGTATTATAGGAAAATAGAAATCTAAATTTATTTTTTCAACAAAATTAACTACTTTTTTTTTTAAATTGTGTGAAAAAAACTAGGACTATCAAAAATTGGGCAGAGGGAGTATTTCAATTGCAACTTGCATTTATGGGCACAAATAGAACATGACATTTGTTTATTATATATGTTCCAGGCATTAGAAAGGAAAGTTTGGTAAAAACTCAGACGGCTATTAGAACCCAAACTAACTGAATTGAGAAGTGGCTTCCCGCACAGAAGGACTAACCTGAAACTATTTTTCACCACGAAAATCACACTAGAAAATATAAAAGTAAAAGCGTCCATCAAATAAAAGTTTTGCACGTAATTCTTTATGTATGGGTGCTAATGAATTTTAAAAATAACGGCTACAGCTGCTCCGTTAAGAAGTGGCGTACATAGTCCTATGGTCAAAGTTGGGCGTAAGCCCGAGCTCAGCTACGACAACCGTTGTTTTGTTATTACAACGTTTGATTCTTATAGGAAATCATTATTGTAAACTAACTAAGTGAAGAGTTCCTGCAGTTATTCGAGCAGCCAGGATTAAAAGTCTTAATACAAATCAAGCCGAAATTCAAAAATCTAATAACAATTCGAGTAGTATAATTTAAGATATCGCGTCTGAAGAAATACGAGTGGATAAAGTTTTAGTTCCCCCGAGTTTGATCGACAGAACACGATTCCTCAAATCATTAACGATTTCACATGCTCTCGATCCAGTATAATATTTTACATTTCCGCACAAATGGCGCCTGCCTGTCTGGAAAACGCAAAAATTGAGGTCAAATCTTTTTAAGTCCTGAAAAGTCATTTCGTACAAGGGAAATAACTCATCTGGATCTACTCTATTGGCCAATCTTCAGTGCACTTTCCCTCCCTTTTGTGCAGCTTCTGTACTTGAGGAGTCAAGACACAAGAGAGTGTTGAAGCAGCAACTCCTGATGCTGTACTCAAAAGATTAGCATGAAATGGGCAACCCCACCCCCACCCCCCCTTTCTTTTAAATTGACGAGTGTTATTCCTGATAAATATTTGTAAGTTGAGAATATCTGGGAATGCTCTTGCGTGGAGACGTGCGAATGGTGATTGGTGAACGGAAGCCCTGAGTTTGTACGGATTGCAGGCAAGTTTGTTGTAGTTTAGAGTTTGGGAATCCATGGCTTCAGGTTCACGTAAAAAGACGGCGGCAATGGCCTACCCAAAGACTCTTTTATCTATCGTAGCTTCACTCGGAGGCCTAGCCATTTTCTTGATTCTTGCTTCATCATCTTTAATATCAGGACCATTCAGGTCTGGAGGAATTGTCAACTTAATTGGGACTGCTTCTGATGAAATTGTCGTGGATTTTAGCCGTCGCGGTTATGTCAGCAGCAGTATCCTTAGGAGCACGAGAGATGGGGATGATTTTCAAGAATCAGATGGCGGATTTGGTGATTCAAGAAAAGCGAAATCAATTTCGCAGGACAACAGGGGTAATGATCTTATTAAGAACCAGCCTACTCTTTCTGGAGATAAGAACGAATTGATTGATTCAAGGCAGCAGCAAGAAGTTGGAAAAGATTTGGCAGAGCCTCCTGCAGGTTTTGGATCGAGGGATGCAACGGCTCAACTAAAGCAATCCCATGCGGCACAACAGGAGAAGGGGATTGAAGATTCATCTTTCTCAACTGGCGGAGATGGTGTTCAAATTGCTCTATCTCTTTCATCAAATCTTTCCAACACCTCCAACCTGCAGATGGATTCAAAAATATCAACTCGACTTCCATCACTTGGTTCCAGTTTAAAGGATGTGAATCCTTCACCTCCCATGTTCACCAATTCAAGTCCGGGTAGTTCAGTCGATTCAGGTGCAACTTCATCTTACTTTTTTATTTTCATTATAATTAAAGGC